TTTACATTCCATGCAGTCACACAGGAGGAAGTGAACCAGATAATCTTAGCCATGCCATTAGCGAAGGCCCCCGGCATCGACAGAATTCATCTAAAAGTTATCAGAGACTGTCTTGTACATATCTTAACGCCTTTAACGTCTATTATTAACGCCTCCTTTGCTGACGAATCATTTCCTAGTCGTTGGAAGCAAGCCGAAATAATCCCGATTTCGAAAAGTGCGACCGTGATCATGACCTAGCTGATAATAATCGGCCTATATCGCTATTACCAATCCTGTCTAAGGTTTGTGAAAAGGTGGCTTTAAACCAACTGATGCCCTACCTCCTGTCCCATAATCGTCTTGCAGTCAACCAAAGCGGCAATAAACAATGGCACTCTACCGAAACGTCATTAATAAAGACAACTGATGTAATTCTAAAGGCAATTGATGATAAAAAACTGACCGCAGTTGTTTTACTGGATATGTTCAAAGCATTTAACAGCTTGGACCATAACATTCTGATTAGCAAACTCAAAGATGTTGGGCTGTCTTTTGAAGCCCTAAACTGGTTCACGAGTTATCTGTCCAATCGATACCAGTCTGTCCGTATTAATTCCACACTATCCGAAGCTTTAAATTTGGAAAGTGGCGTACCTCAAAGAAGCATTTTGGGACCCTTGCTGTTTAGCATATATGTCAATGATTTACCCCTCAATAACTAGTAAGTGCCCTACTGAAAGTTATGTGGATGACACGAAAATTTACATGTGCTTTTCAGCCAAAGAGTGCGACTCAATTATGTTGTTCATAAATGAAGATCTCGAGAGAATCCGAAATTTGTGCTTCCAAAATCTTTTACTAATAAATCCAGGTAAAACTCAACCAATGGTTTACGGAAGCAGAAAAATGGTCGCCAAACTACCAGAATGTTTTCAACTTTCCTTACTGGGCAAAGCACTTTCTCCAAATGAATCGATGAAGGACCTGGGTGTAACTTTCGATCGCAATCTCAATTTTAATGAACACATCATTAAAGTGTCAGCTCAATGCATGTCTGCCCCAGGACAAATTAACCGAGTTAAGCATGTCTTTAATAAAGAAGTACTTATTAAAATCATTATTTCACTGGTTTTTAGTAAACTCTTCTACTGCTCATCTGTCTGGTCCACGACATCCGAGGGAAACATTAAGAAACTTCAGTCAGTACAGAATTTTGCGGCACGTATCATTGGCGGACTCCGGAAGTATGATCACGTGACCCCAATCCAAAGGAGTTACAATGGATCCCGGTGAAAAAGCACTTATTTTACCGGGACGCAGTGCTCGCATTTAAATGTATGAGCAACTCCCTGAGCTATCTATTTACTACAAGAGAAGCCATCAGCAGAAGGACAACTAGACAATCTGACCAGCTAAATTTACCACTTTTACAAGTGTAAAGGGACAGAAATCCTTTAAGTATCGTATAGCAAAACTATGGAATGAGTTATCTCCTGACATTAAACTATGCGAATCAATTAGTGTTTTTAAATTTAACTTGAAGAAAGAGTTATTGAGACAGTTTCGGATGGACCAATAACTATATGCATTTTAGAGTACTAATTAGATAGAAGAAAAAATTATTAAGACAATTTTAATCGACAAATAATTTCATGTATGTTAAAGTATTATATAGACAATGTAAATATAGTTTTAGTATAGCAGTTCTAACTTTACTATCTTAGATTCTATTACACTCTTGTAACTATTTTAGTATATTGATTCTGAAAAGCCCTTTTTAGGGATGATCAATTATATATTCATTCATTCATTCAAAATTAGAAATGTCTGGGAAAATTTATGTCTTTGATGTACTTTATAATCTTCGGAATTCTGCAAGATTTCACCCCCAAAATGCTTGAAATCGCATTTCAGGGACTCTAGATTTCAAAATTTTCCCGGGAGTGCATACCCCCGGATCCCCCTAGATGGTCTCGCGCCATTGGCGTTAGCTTCGCCCCCCCCCCCCTCCACCAAAAAAAATGAAGGTCTGGCTACGCCACTGCAATGAATCTATAGACCCTTTGCACCGTGACATCACAGGGCCGGTGACGATGCATCTGGAGGACAAATTAGCAATCTATGCATAATATAGCTTTGAAACAAAGCACATTTTGTAAGACTTTATAATAATTTTGTATTAAAATGGTTAATTTTTGCGCTGTATGTGGTTGTTGTACCCGAACAGATATTATTAGGGAGCATCTCCAGGACACTCTAAGGATTTGTGACGTCAGTGCAATGGGTCTATAGACATGTTCTCTATTTTGACCGTACAACATATTCACCATTTAATAAAGCGTTAATTTACACTGGACCCAATTACCCTAACATGTGCCACACGGTAAAATAACAAAATTGTATCTCATTTCACTTTTCTGTGATTTAGATTCATGGACAGGACTACGCTATTGATCTTTGTGGAACATTGGACGTTCTAGAGCCTGTCATATCATTGATGCTAAGAGCACAAGCTGTAAAATTTCCACCTTGGAGGATTGCTACGTGGTTTTCGAGAATGATCAAGATCCTGAAGGTGTGGAAACAAACCTTAAAGCGGTGTTGGAAACAAACCCTGAAGAGAAGTTGCCGAAGCTCTCTAAGCACTGGGAAGAATCGACTCCACCCACGAGACAAATGCAGTGTTTGGTTTTTTCATGTATATAATGTATCATGCCTACTTTAGAATTGCATTCTTGATTATTTGTTTTGGGGTATCCCAATTTTTGAGCTGACTGGTTAGTCGTTAGCCAGACCACTGAGATGACAGACGGCAAGAAGCAGACCACTTATATCTGGGATGCTCTTTCTCCACAAGATTGTGTTAAAGATCTCGTCATACTTTGAAAAAATCTTTGGGTTGGGCTTCCAGCTCGGTTCACAAACATTGTAGTGATTGCACTGACTTCAGTCAAGAGCTGTGCAATCGCCGCGGGCGCAAAAAAATCGGGAATCTTTCTTAGAAGACATCCAGGGGCGCAAAAATTTGTCCCCGAAAAAAAATCGGGGGCGGCATTGCCCGATTTTCCAGTCTGGAGAATTAGTATATAAGTACAAAAAAATTTGAGACTCAATTTTAAAAACTGTGGCACTAGCGTTGTTTCTAAAATCAGAAATGTAATATAGGTATGCCCGTCAGGAATATATTCTATGCAAATCCCATATATTTTCTGATAAAGTTTCGAAGTTCTCATTGTTTACAGGGCTCATTGTTCTTCCCAAGCAATACAATCACAATAATTGTGATGAATTTATTCTGTACAAGTTGTAGCTTAGTTGACTCGAGTCATTTAAGGCAAAATCAGCAAGTCGAGTCCGAGTCGAGTCATTTGGGGCTGTTGACTCGAGTCGAGTCATTTTTCGTATTGGACTCGAGTCGAGTCGCTGAAAATAGCGACTCGAGTTGACTCGAGTCAGAGTCAATGACTCGACTCGTTACAACACTGGTAAGTATACAAAGTTTGAAAACGTTTACATGAATATCCTTCGAATAATAAACTTTTGAAAATCGCGATATTTACTATGAATGTACTGTAATTTTTGTTTGCCGCGAGTTTTGCGTCCCGTTTTAAGAGGCAACTTTTTTTACTGATTTCACGTACTTGCAATGAAATGTGTTCAAAACCTAAAATATGTTTGGCGTTCCTCTCAAAATTACTTTGTATTAACTTTATTCCGGTCTCTAGTTTATAGAGCTAGCTACTTTTGAAATGCATCTGCCGGTTGAGAAACATAAAATAGTTTTAAAAAAAAACACTAAAATCTTTTTAAAATCTTTGTATCAATTATCAATGATGCTTTAAAATTGATCACGCCATATTTACAGCCATATAAGCAAAACACACTGAACTTTAAACATCATTTTCTCTTTGGCGTATCATCTAAAATATAATCTCTTCATTTTAGCATTATTTAACAGATAAATGACCACTAAACATACTTTTTAAGTTTGTTTGCCGATTGAGAAACGTTTCGAAAAATAAAAATTTTGAATTTAGCCATAACCTCAACTCCTCAAGTGATATATTATACGCATTAGTTTTGTCTTTTGAGCGCATGTTACGTAACATACAAAAAAATCTCCTTTTAATCAGTAATTTCACAATTTTGAAAAGCTTATTATTCGAAGGATATTCATGTAAATATCTGCAAACATTGTATACTTACTAATTTTGAGGTGGTCTTTTTAGTGATTTGGTTCATTTCTTAATTTGGGCACTTTAATTTTAACACTCGTCCCCAGTCCACTCATCAACTTCGGAATGGCAAATTGCAGGGAAATGTTTGTTGTGAAACTCAGCACGAAGTGTTGTGCTTTAAAAGAAAACTACAGTAAAACACGCA